CTTCACCTGTGTATGTAGGTCAAGGGTCAATGAGCTTACCAAACAAATTTTGTGTACCAATAATTAGTGCTAAAGGTATTCAAATCAATAAAACAACAAGGGTGCCCAAATTTATGCACCTGCCTACTTTTGTTTAAGTAATTATTGCACACTTTCTGTCAATCCTATAAACTTCATTTCACTTCTTAAATATCACTGTGTTTGTTTGCTATAAGATATATTTAATTGAAATTGCTGTTCCGAACAACCAATGATACATAAAGGAAAATCTTGAAAATGATCAGGGGTGCCCAAACTTTTTCATACCACTGTAAAGGACTGAATTATGAACACAGAAATTGTGATACCAAAATAAAAAAAAATGTCTAGTTTAGGTTTTAATTTTCCTAGCTTAAGAATATCCAGCATAGACATTACCTGTCTGGAACCTGTTTTGCATGACTTCTTACCTAAACTTTTGTTTAAAAAAGATGTCTATTGCCCATGGCCATGGGATACTTTTTGTGAAGCACTTAGCTCTGCCTAAGTACATCCACAAATATCCACTTCATTGAGCTGATAGGACTAAAAAGACTGCAACAAAATATTTTTTTAAATGTTTTAAACTCCCAGACAAAAACAACAACATACAAACTTCAGCAAGTGGGACGGTTAAAAAAAAGAAAAAGAGGCTTATATATGTACATACTGTATACACATCTTTCAACATTTTTGCAGACCTATAGAGAATAGGTAGTGTTATGTCACAGATTCAACGGCAAATTCTTCTGATTAGATTAAGTCAGCTGCCTGCACGATTGAAGGTTGTTTTTAAAGCAGCCGCAGACACGAGTTAGCATAATCCTGATGAATAAGGTCATAGGTCATTAGGGGCAGCTGGGTGTGTGGATGTTTTTTTTCCTGTGTGTACTTTTACATGCCTTTTTAGATTCTGTCTCAAAGGTGGAGGGCAGCATCTCTGGGAAGAGTTTCAGGAAGACGGGCAGAAGGAACTCCATGAAGGGAACAACGATAAACACTGTGAAGGGAACCAGCCGGAAGAGGTCGGCACAGGTCCTCATCAGCTGCAAACACAGGAAAACAGGGCAAATTGAACTAAAGGTATAAGTACTGTGGGGAGGGTATTAGGGTTATTTTCAGCATTGGCTACTCAGATTTTCAGTATCCTGATTGGTCGATCGGTAAATTGGCATGCAAAGGCTAGAAAAATGCAGATATGTTATATTTAAACCCAAAATATAAAAAGTTTTCCGATGTTTGGTATAGTCACCAAAATATAGATATTTTGCCTTAACTGTCACAGAGAAGCAAAAAACAACAATAAACACACAGGAAGCTAAAGTTTAAGACCTTAACATAATGACGAATAAGATTTAATTAGTAAACAATCATCTTTGGGACCCCCTGCTGGTAGGACAGCGTCACCGTTAAGTCGCCCAGGTCAATGAGATCCATTACAGTAGCACTAAAGTTCAAGTAGTACTTGTCAGAAATAGCTCAAATATAAACTTACAATGGAATTTGAACAGCGTGTATCTCTGAACCTGGTGCAGACACGAGGTAAAATGCAAGTACATTGAAAAGTGCTATATTTAATAGTCAACAGTTCATTAGGCCACTGTCGCCACTTCCTTAGTCATTTCATAACTACAGTTTGTGAGATACGTTCAGATTGTTGCTGAATTATGCAAAAAACTATGTAGAGGGGTGAAAACAAAACCATTACAATAGTTCAGTGAACTGCTGAAAAAATGCAGACTTGACATTTCCTTATCCACATCACAACCTGCTGAATATTATGGGAAGTAGCTGCTGTTGCAACTTGTGAGTGATTTGCTACCTCGATGCAAGCCAGTAATTAACATACATAGCTCAGTCTTATAAACATGCTGTAAGAGAATTATCTCACCCTTCTCCTCTCCCTCCTTGTAAGGACTTGTCCGTGTAACAGCCTCCACCCCATCCTCCCTGCAATTTTAACGTCGTTTCCCAGTAACCGAAAGCCATTGTAATAATGCTTCAACTCGTCCACAGCCCTCTGATACAGAGATTTTTTCACAACTGCCTTCTCCTGCACCGGAGCAGCAGGGGCCACAATGGTTGTTGCTGGTAAGGCAGCCTGAGATTGAGACACAGTGGCTGCAGAGTTCTTTTTAGCTGCCGCAGAAGGGTCCGGTGCAGCAGCAGGTGAGCTCTTACTGTCTTCTGGCTTTAGATCCTGGAGACACACACGTGAACTATGCAAAGAGCGGGCAAACAGGGCAATGGCATGACCACGATCAAGGGCATGGCATCGGCTGCAGTGGGGGTAACCATAACGAGAAAGTTGGAGTGGGAGTGGGGTAAGGATGTGGTGGGGAGGGTGGATGTGGAGATAGGCTTTAGAAGACAGAGAGGAGCAGCTGTGCTTCTTGGTCAACAAATATGATCCCCTGTTAACAGTAGCAAGAAAAACAGGCAAAAATTACTGCATACTTAAATCTATGGGCTTTTTATGGACAATATAAATACATTTTCAACATAACTTTATCTCAATTAAAGCTCCATTACATTAGTAACCTTTGGGCAAATAATAACAAAATATCACAATTTATACCTCATCTACAACAATAAAAATGTAATTCAGACATTGAAACTTGTTAAACACATCAAATGTATGATTTTCTAATCAACATCAATCATCATTGAGTGTAAACATTAAACAAAATTGAGGGATTCTTACAAGTTAATTCTTAAATGTACTCAGGCAAAAACGGGGTGATAAACACCAGACTATTTTGTCAACAACCCCCCTCTACTTTATGATCTCATTAGTCTGTGTTTACATTGAACATCTGGTGCTGTTTAACTAGGCATGTAAAGAAGCACAATGTGCAAAATGTAGGTAAACCATTTAAGTGTATAGTATTGGCACACATTTAACACAAATGATTCCTTTGATGCTTTCATAGGAGTACAACTACTGTGAACTACTGTTGACTTTAAACCAAGATTAGCCCTCTTTAATGGAGGCTACCACACTGGACCATGTCTTCAGTCAACAGGAAGCTTTAGTGCGATCACAATTAGCAAATGTACGTCATTCAATACAAAAAAAAACGGCCTGCATCCAGGAGCCGAGTCTGTCTATTGCTGCCTTGGATTTCCTGGAAAGGCTACTCCTGTCTACCGAAACCAAGCACGAACCTGGTGTGCACCTTTCTTGAACGAGACTTTAGGGACAACTTACCGTGTTCTCGTGACTGCAACGATCACCTGATGACTAAAGACTGCCATCGTATAGGACGCTTGCATATTTCTGCTTAAACACATGTAAAGAATGGGGAGGGGAGCAGACAAGAGAGGCGTTACAGGTGTCCTATTACAATTCACTCAAATGCTGCAGCTACCGGGCAACTGGACAATTACAGACACCAAACCATAGGCCGCAAATTGTAATTTAACCATAAATGACAGTAAAACTAACACTGCCATGTCACTTTAAACTCAACCAGAAAAACCTGATTTTGTAATATGGTCTGTCATTTATTCTTCCTCCTAAACTTGCTAATTCGATTCATTTAAACAGGCTCGAATTTGATTCATTTTAACAGAAACGAACCGCATTTATTTATCCTTAGAATGAAACTTGTTTTGGTCGCCAAAGGGGCAGCAAGTAACAGTAACTACACCGTCACCACTGTTTCACTACTGTTGTTTATAACGCATGTGTACCATGAGTCATTTGCTAATAATTGACACTTAATATTGTATGTTCTATTTAAAGAAACGTGGCTTTTATAGAGTACAAGAGTAAAATAAGCAATATTTTGGTTATTTTACATTTATATTAGCTTTTGTCTAACTGCTTGATTACATTATAATATACGCATGAGTGTTTGGCTGATAAAACAACTAACTATGCCATGCTAAGAGCTACAGACACAGATCCATAACTTGAGTGGTTTTGGTTGTTAGCTTAGTTTGTTAGCTTAGTTGCACGTTAGCCAGCGAAATGGCAGAAGACTAACCTCCGGCGTCAGGACCTAGCTTTGGCTGCCGCTGATCACTGAGGGTTCTCTGAGACACGAGTCCAATAATCCATTCACAAGATGCGCCAGAAAAAACAAGAGCAATTGAAGTGGCGACCGAAAGTGTGATACACCCATTTAGCTTAAGTTCATTGCTTTTGTGCGGGCCCAACGAGTGTTGTGTTGGAAGCTATTGACCGCTCCGCTGTGCGTGCACTGCCTTTAAACTAGTGATGTGTCGTTCGCGAGTGATTCGTTCAAAATGAACGAATCTTTCATGTGACTCGTGACTCCCGAGTCATATGAAAGATTCGTGACTCGTGACTACCGAGTCATATTAAATATTTGTTCATATTGAACTCACGAATCACTCACTGCGAACTAATCACACTCTGCGAACTAATCACTCACTGCAAACAAATCACTCTCTGTGAACTAATCTTTCACTGTGAACTAATCTTTCACTACGAACGAATTACTCTCTGCAAACGAATCTTTCACTGTGAACTAATCTTTCACTACGATTCGCTGTGAACTAATCTTTCGCTGTGAACTAATCTTTCGCTGTGAACTAATCTTTCGCTGTGAACTAATCTTTCGCTGTGAACTAATCTTTCGCTGTGAACTAATCTTTCGCTGTGAACTAATCTTTCGCTGTGAACTAATCTTTCGCTGTGAACTAATCTTTCGCTGTGAACTAATCTTTCGCTGTGAACTAATCTTTCGCTGTGAACTAATCTTTCGCTGTGAACTAATCTTTCGCTGTGAACTAATCTTTCGCTGTGAACTAATCTTTCGCTGTGAACTAATCTTTCGCTGTGAACTAATCTTTCGCTGTGAACGAATCATTCTCCGTGAACTAATCTTTCGCCGTGAACTAATCTTTCGCTGTGAACTAATCTTTCGCTGTGAACGAATAATTTTCTGTGAACTAATCTTTCGCCGTGAACTAATCTTTTGCTGTGAACTAATCACTCTAAACGGATCATTCTCTGTGAACCAATCTTTCGCCTCGTTCTCGCAGATTCGTTTCATTTGTCACGCGAAAGAGCTCGGGTCTTTTTGCTCTCATTCATCTTCACATTGTGGTGTGTTTTTATTTCTTAGCTTTTCACATGGTTTTAATTACTTATGGCATTTTGTGTATTTTGTAGGCTTTGTCAGCGGAAGCAAACCATGTTGCCTTCAGTATTTAGTGTCCGAGAACCGCAGCCTTCTTTACAACGCCCACAATAGGGCCGTGAACTAATCTTTTGCTTCGTTCTCGCAGATTCGTTTCATTTGTCACGTGAAAGAGCTCGGGTCTTCACGGGTCATCTTCACATTGTGGGGTGTTTTTATTTCTTAGCTTTTCACATGGTGTAATTTCTTATTGCTTATTTTGTGTACTTTGTAGACTTTGTCAGAGGAAGCAAACCATGTTGCCTTCAGTATTTAGTGTCCGAGAACCGCAGCCTTCTTTACAACACCCACAATAGGGCTAAAGCGCCACCTGCTGTAAAACGAATGAAATGATTAGTTCAAGATTCGTTCACGACTCGTTCATTTTACTGTTCGAGAGTCAAAGATTCGAATCAATAAAAAGAGTCGGTCTTCCCATCACTACTTTAAACGTAAGACCACTGTACTCTTAGGCTGCGCATGCGTATACTTCGCTTAAACTAACGTTCTGAAGTTTTTTTCAACCTATAGTTTTTTCCTACCCGAGTTAACTGCGCATGCGTACATCGGCCAATTTGCCGCTGCAGACAAGCCATCGTTTTCTGCTACCCGACCATTAAACAAGGTTAGGTTTTTGTATTTTTAATACTTTATATGACCAGTATTCAATGCATAGGTTTGACAGTCAAATTATTTTAACTTGCCACGTGCATGAGATCGTGTCTGAATGCAGTTTGAATAGCTAATACTGCGAATTATCGTCATTTTCATGTAGTCATAAAACTTGCTCATGTAGCCTCCGAATTTTTCAGCTGTTTTAAAACAGTTCCTTACTAAATTCGCGTAAATTTCATAGTCATAAAACTTGCTCATTTAGCCTCCGCACGTATGTGTATGCAATTCGAATGTCTAATAGCGCTGTGATTTTCCAGCTGATTTAAAACAGTACCTTACTAAATTAGCTCAGGGTTTACAGTATTGCATAAGCTCGTTTACAAGTCTCTATGATATTGGCCTACAGACTTGGATGGAAGGGCATGGGCCCCTGACAATTTTCCATGAAAATAAGCATTTCTTCCATTGAGTTATTGATCGTTACATGTTTTGGTAGGTATATATTCAGTTTATTTCCTTTGTGTGCATTGGAACTACACAAAAAAACAGAAAAAGGCAAATTTGACATAATTTCCTAACCATTTTATAAATTTTGTGTGAAATTATATCAGAGTTGCCTTTTTCTCTGAGAGAAATACTTAATTAAATAGAAAAGTCATAAAAGTCAGGTGATCACTGTTGATCTTTCATTCTAAAATATCTTACATTGGATGACTTAGGGCTGAAATTATATAGCAATGCACATAAACATTTTAAACTTGTCTATGAAGCTTATCAGTCATCCAGGTCATGGTCAAGCTTGAAGAGTTCTGTTAGGCAACACGGGGGGGGGGGGGGGCAACCCTCCGGGGCGGG